GATGGTTATTAATACTTCATAATAATTCCTAGAGATCAGTTTTTGGTTTCCATATTCACTCAATCTGTGGCCCATCTATTGAATTTATATACAGTTGGGAAACTAATGTAGTAAACTTTTAATGATGTAAACACCCATTTGTTAGGAACTTAAGAAAACTCAGGTGTCACACACCATTAATACTAACCATTACTGGGGCTGGGGATTTAGCTCAGCGGCATAAGCGCCTGCCTGACAAGTGCAAGGTCCTGAGTTCGAACCCTGGTACCAACAGAAAAAAGAAAGACAAAAAAAAAATACTAACCATTACTATTGTGGACCAAGTTTGTATTTCCCTCCATTTTGTTATAAAATGAGGGTTTTAAGAGTTATGAACTATACTTTAGAGACTGAGACCCAACGATCGTAGTAAGTTTGAGTCGTCTGGGCTGCAAAGTTACATCAATACCAGTCTGGTCTACATAGTGGGACCCTGTCTCCAAATGCAACCAAAAAAAAATGTTATGCACTCTAAAATTAACCTGCAGGCCAGTGTAAAAATAAAGGGATATGAGCAGAAGGTGTAGCTCAGTAATAAAGTGCTTGCCTAGCATACACGAGGCTCTGGGTTTGATCTCCAGGACTACAAAAACCAAACCAAACCAAACCAAAAATAAATAAAATAAAGATGTATGTTAACACTTATTTCACTTCAAGAAATATGTTTTAAACCAGACATGCTGGCACATGTCTAATCTCAGCACTTTCGAAGCCCCAAGCAGGAGGTTCGCAAGTTTGAACTCATCTTGAACAACTTATCGACTTAGTGAAATTTTATCTCAAAATAAAAAAAATTAAAAAGCAGTTGGTGATGTCGCTCAGTATGAAGACCCTAGGCTCAATCCCCAGTACCAGAAAAAGAAAAAGAAGGAGGAGAAAAGAGGAAAGAAGGAAGAAAGAAAGGGAGAAAGAGACTGAAAGGGAGAGAATGCAAATCAATTCCAATGAAAGTAGTTTTAAAGTGGAAAAAGAAAAGACAAAAAGCCCAGGAATTGTAGGAAATTTAAGAATTTTGTAGAGTAGGTATAGACCTAGAGAGAGGATAAAGACTATCAATTTAAAAGATTTGGTTTACATCTGTAATCGGTGATTTGAATATCCAGTTAATCCATAATTATTTTATAAAAAAAATAAGTTTACTAAAAAACATGCATTTAAAAAAGTATTCTTATTCTTCAGTAAAAAAGAACACCCCACAGACCTAGTGGGAAAATTTTTATTTCGGACCAGAACTAATGAAGTTGTTTCAATACAATTCTTTCCAAGAGTAACTATAATACTAAACAATGTTATATTTGACTGATCTAAGGCTAGCTAAATATTTTAAATTTTTTATTAGTACATGTTTACAATATATAGCCTTTACATTTTACTCTTTCCCCATCCCTGCTCTCTCTTCTCCCTCCTTCCTCACATCCCCTTTCCATCTCTACTGTCTACCTCCCTGTTTCTTAACATGAAATTATTCTTCTTTTCAAATTATTTATATTTTGGTCTTTCATATTAGACAAATACATGATATTTAACCTTTTGTGACTGACTTATTTCATAAAAGCATTATGGTCTCAAAACCTATCCATAAGTCCTACAAGTGACTCGAATTTATCCTTCTTTATGGCTAAGCAGTACTCCATTGTGTGTGTCTATACCACATTGTATTTATCCATTCAACTGTTGATGGGAATATAGGTTATTTCCATGATTTATCTATTGTGAATGTGCTGCTATAAACATAGTATGCATGTATTGCTGTAATACAGCCTTAGGTCTTTGGGAAGATACTCAGGAGAAGTATAGCTGGGTCAAATGGAATTTTTATTTTTACTTTTTCGAGAAATCTCCATACTGATATCCAAAGTGGTTGTACTAGTTGACATAACCACCCAAATGATGTTCCTTTTCCCCCATGATTTTGCCAGCATTTCTTGTTTTCTGAGTCCTTGATGATGGCTATTCTTACTAGGGTAAGTTGAAATATCAGTGCTCTTTTGATTTGCATTTCTCTAGTGATCAAGGATACTGAATACTTTTCAAACTATTTATTGACTGTATTTGTTGTTCTGTTAAGTGTCTATTCATTTCATTTTGATTGTTAGTTTTTTATTAGGTCTTTTATTTTTGGCAATTTAACTTTTTTGAGTTCTTTATGTATTCTGGAAATTAGTCCTCAGTCTGAAGAGGAGCTGGAAAATTTTTTCCATTCTATACATTGTCTCTTCATTCCATTAGTTGTTTCCTTTGATGTGTAGAAGTTTTCTAACTTGATATAAACCCTTTTGTTGATTCTTGGTATAACTTCTTGTACAACTGAGATTTTGTTCAAAAGTTCATGCCTTTGCCTATATCTTCAAAAGTTTTATCCATTTTTTCTTCCAGTTTATGCAGTATTTCTGTTCTTATGTACAGGTCTTTGATCTAATTGATTTTATTTTGGCATAGGGTGAGAGATATGGATCAAAACTCATTATTGTGCATGTGGATAATCATTCCTCCAAGCACCATTTTATTTATTTTTTTATTTTTATTGGTACTGGGATCGAATTCATGGCCTTGCAAGGGAGCCACTTATGCTGCTGAACTATATCCCCGGCCCTTAAGTACCACTTATTAAATAGGATATCTTTTTTCCCCGAATTCATTATTGGCCCCTTGTCAAGAGTCAAGTGGCTGATCTGATATTTGACAAAGGTGCTAAGGTGATACTATGTTTACTAGAAGAAGGATACTATGTTTACTGGAAGAATGATAGCCTCTTTAATAAATGGTGTTGGAAAAATTGGCTCTCCACATGCGGGAGGCTGAAACTGAACCCATGCCTATCACCATGAACAATACTGAAGTCTAAATGGATCAAAAATCTAAATATTAAAACAGAAACACTAGATCTACTGGAAACAGGGTAGGTAGAAGTCTTTGAGACATAGGGGTATGCAGAGAATTCATGAACAAAACACAAATCGCACAGGAAACACTTCAAAGAATCAACAAATGGGATCTCATATTATTAAAAAGATTTGCACTTCAAAAGAAAACACCAACACAGTCAAAACCCACAGAATAGGAAAGAATTTTAGCCAGCAACCTCTCAGACAAAGGACTTACATCCAAAACATATAAAGAATTTAAAAATATCAGGCCCCCCAAATTCAAAGACCCTTTTTAAAAATGGGCATCTGAGATGAACACACAGTTCTCAGATGAAGATATTACAAATGGCAAATAAATACATGAACAAATGTTTGCCATCACTGGTCATTCGAGAAATGCAAATTAAAACAGCATTGAGAGTTCATCTCACTCTGGAAAGAATAGCTGCCATCAAGAAATCAACTGATAACAAGTGTTGGCGAGGCTGCGGGAAAAAGGGAACGTTTCTCCACTATTGGTGGGAGTGTAGACTGTGAAGTCACTATGGAAATCGGTATGGAGATTTCCCAGAAGAATAGAATTAGAAGTTCCATTCAATCCAGCTGTTCCCCTCCTGGGTATTATCCCAGAAAAACTGAAAAGGTCTTGTCACAGTGATATAAGTGCCCCCATGTTCATAGCAGCACAGTTTGTAATAGCTAAATCTTGGAAACAACCAAAATGCCCATCAATTGTGGAGTGGATGCAAAAGATGTAGTTTTTATGCAATGGAATATTACTCAGCTATAGAAAAGTTTGATCTTGAGGCTTTCATAGATAAATGGAGGCAACTTGAGACTATCCTCATAAGTGAAATATATAAGAATGATATTTATAAATATCATACTGTGTCTGTAATGTAAAAAGTAATAAGAACTGTAGGAGTAATAATGTGTAATTGCTAATGTAAAAAAGAGAGAAAAAGAAAGTGCTGTAAAGGATACAACTGTGTGTATGTTTAAGTATGTAAGATGGATAACCACATTACTAAGTTTTTGTTGGATCACTGAACAGAACAGTGTGCACTCTCATTGTTTGATTGTCCACTTTCTATGCTTTAATTTTGTGACTTGAACAACTATTTCTAAGATGACAATATGTAATTTATAAACTAGTGATTTCTTAGCGTTAATTTTTTTGAAGTTCTGTATTATTTCTACCTTTTTTTCTGTTTTGCTTAATTTTCTCTTTAATAAAGTTAAGTGGCTGAAGATACTTGGTGTTTTTTCTGTATCCTCTATTCTATTCCATTTGTCAATATATCTGTTTCGTATCAGTACCATTCTGTTTTTGTTTTGTTTTTCACTACCATGGCTTAGAATAACTGGATGTCTAGGATTGTAATGTTTCTTGCTTTGCTCTTATTTCCAACATTGCTTTGGCTATTCTGGGTTTCTTCTGGTGCCTGTCAGTTTGGAACTGTTTTTTGTATTTCTGTGAAAAAAGTTGATGGCATTTTGTTGGAAATTTTGTTAAATCTATATATCATTTTTGATACTATGAAGGCCAGCTAAATATTAAAACTTTTGCTTAAGACAAAGTTAAACAAGAAATCCACAAACATATTTCTTCTCTGATTATGTGGCATCAATTACAGAGACAACCTTGAAGCGTATATGTGAGTGCACCAACAATGTGTTTTGAGAGGGAATGTTAGTAAGTATAATGGGAAAGAATGTATTTCTGACTTAGAATGATAACATATCTTAGGGTCCTCTATATTTTCCTTTCCCTGAATTTCACGTATAATTAATATCATCTACTTTCTTTGATTCATGTTGAATGAGGAATTCATTGGAGAGACAACATAAGATTCAAAAATCAAATTACACTGAAGTTATGACAAGTCAAATTTCTCACAATGAAAATATTTTGTACATTTTAAACATCTGTAACATTTTAAAATCTTAAATACGTTTGCAAAGCATATCCTCTACATATTACTTTAAATTTCTTTGGGTTTGTTTTCCTTGATGTGAATGTATTTTTATGTATGGCTTTACCTTCATTTTATTATAGATTTTTAAAAGAACATTTCCTATTTTGTTTTTTAGAACCTCTCCCCCAAAAGAATAAAGCCACAACAGAAAAAAAGAGAAAGAGAAAAATTGTGACAAAAACTCAACTGGGTAGGTATTTCATGGGAGCAAACTATAAAATTTTGATATTTTTGACTAGATCTCCTATAATGAATATTTAGAAAAATATATATATATATACTCTAATTTTAAGGCTTACAAAGTTTTTAAATGTACTTTTCTGGGTAGTGATGAATTTTCATCCCTATGTCTCTTATGTAAATATTACCCAATTAACATCATCCTTATTTAGTTCCACAGTGTGAAAGTACCTATGAGAATGTAAGAAAAATTACTTGTTCTGTAAACATTTGATCTTTTTATTTTAAGGTGTGTTCTAGGTATTCCATATATAGACATGTGGAGGTAACAAGAAAGGTACTGTATTTCATTAGCACTTTAGATTTTACCATGCATTTTCATGTTACTATTGTGGAATTAGAACCTAAATGCCAAACTATTAAGTTATTAATGATTTTTGTAATATGTTAATAATATCTATTTTATTAGTATGAGTCACCTGTCATCAACAAGCACCATTGTACTATGAAGAAAAGACTATGAAAGATCCATTTCTTATGAGGGTATCCATACCAATGCAAGTAAAATGGAGTAAATACCTGAAGAAACTTGCCTTTTTATTCTCTTCGATATTCTGGGGTCCAGTCTAACTATGACCCAGATCCTTTATTGTCACAGTTAAGAATCCAGCTAATGCAGCTCTCGCTCAGTAATTCTTGGGTCCCTTAGGAGCAGACTTCATGTCTCACAGGTATTCTATACTATTTGCCTCTCATTTGGAACTGTCCAAATTGGAACCTAACAGAGTCACACATCTGAGTGTCATTCTTACTGTAGGCTTTCTCCCTTCCAACAGGATCATAACTAAAGAAAGTGCAAGACCGTCTGGTACCTAACTTATTATTGATGGTATTGAAGCCATTTTCCTGGCACAGGCAAGAAACTTAAGAAAAATAAGATTTATGCCTCCTTTCATACAAAAAGAGTTTTATTTTCTGTGCTATTCTGTATCAGCTAATGAGCATGAGTCAAGAGAAGCAAAATTAGAAGGCCACATAATTCAGAGAAATTCCGAGTTGATTTCAGCTTCAGATTTAACTATTTTCCCTCCTACTTTTTCATTTATTTTCAGGTTCGCTTGGTTATAAACTTCTCCCTGTTTGGTGCTGCAACAATGAGTGGGAAATCTTTGCTCTTAAAGGTCATTCTCTTGGGTGATGGTGGAGTTGGGAAAAGCTCACTTATGAACCGTTATGTAACTAATAAGTTTGACTCCCAGGCTTTTCATACAATAGGGGTAGAGTTCTTAAATAGAGATCTGGAGGTAGATGGACGCTTTGTAACCCTCCAGATCTGGGATACTGCAGGACAGGAACGTTTCAAGAGCCTTAGGACGCCCTTCTACAGGGGAGCAGACTGTTGCCTCTTGACCTTCAGTGTGGATGACCGGCAGAGCTTTGAGAATCTAGGTAACTGGCAAAAAGAATTCATCTACTATGCAGATGTGAAAGACCCTGAGCACTTCCCCTTTGTAGTTCTGGGTAACAAGGTAGACAAAGAGGATAGGCAAGTGACTATTGAGGAAGCACAAGCCTGGTGCATGGAGAACGGTGATTACCCTTACCTAGAAACTAGTGCCAAAGATGATACTAATGTGACAGTGGCCTTTGAAGAAGCTGTCAGGCAGGTGTTGGCTGTAGAGGAACAACTGGAACATTGCATGTTAGGTCACACCATTGACTTGAACAGTGGCTCCAAAGCAGGTTCTTCATGCTGTTAAAAATAAGGAGCCTTTAAAAATGTGCGCCAAATTGAAGAGTCAGTGGTTTAAGAATTACTTTGCCCTTGTAAGTGTGCATAAACACACAAAAAGGTAATAGTAAGGTTCTGACTGTGAAACAGAGCCTTTCAAATTGAATTTGTGTAGTGATTATTTTAAAAATTATTAAGCCAAGTGTATTTTATGAGTTGTCTGCAATTTTCCCTTATTGTATGTCTCAGGATATTTCAGAAAGTTTTGTTCCTGAGAGGATTAAATATTTTAAAATCACTGTTGAAACCTAGAATTCAGCCACACGAAGGAAGGAAGGAGCTACAGCTATCTCTTAAAATGTTCCTCTAATCAACTAGCAAATGTCACTATCAAAACTCTTGCCAAGCAGTTTCTGACATATTTACCAAAAGGGAAACACAAGACTGAGCTGTGTTATAGAAAAAACAATAATGAAAACAAGGATTCTAAAGCTTGAATTATAAAAATGAATGATGAGGAATATAAAAGTGTAAAGATGTAAACTGATTTATTAAAATTCTTTTGTATGGTTTGCTCCCATTTGCACTTTTTAAAACAATAGCATCCTTATCAGGGATACTCTAATGACACTGGAAATTTATTATAACTCATAAATTTGAAGTCACAGGATACTAGTGAATGGATTGTGCTTAAATATGCCAACCACCTTTGCAAATAACTGGTGGATCTGCTGTTTTTTATAAATATACTGTTGCTGAATAGAGATGTTGCTTCTCTGACAACCTCTTATCAATTTAGCAGTGCTGCTTAGTATATGGCTTTGAATGCCCTGCTCTCTGCTCATAATTTCGATGGTCTCTTGGTCCATCATGCTGGCTAATGCAGAAGGCATCATCAAAGCCTGAGAGATAGCGGACTTTTCCCCCCACAATGTTCCTTAAACTTAAGTATTTTTTGTACAAAAAGGAACTTATTTCTTGTGTGTTGCACTGTCTATTTAGGTGGCCAAACTAGGACTTTGAAAGTGACAAAAGGAGATTTTAACCTTCTGTTATGATGAATTTCTCATAATTAGTGTTGTCCAACAATGGAATAGACTGCCTTAATAGTGAACTCCCTCCCAGTGAAAATATTCACTGATGACCATCGGAAAAAATACTATAAAATAATTTCTTCACTGGCTACATGTTTAGTACAAGGTCCCTTTCAACTCTAAGTGCTGGGAATTTATAAACTGTGTCTATGCCATGTTATGTTTATATTTATCTTGAGGTAACAGCTCAGACTATAAAGAGAGACTGAAAATTCTAAAACTGTTCTGTGATCAGCCTTTAACAGTAACTACATAACTCTTCTTTTTTTGCACTGTGAAAGGTAAAATTCTTAACCTTTTAGACAAACATCCTGAAGATACATATTAAAAGCAAAACTTTTGATAACTATGACTGCCAACTGTATAGTGTACTATGAGTATGAACTCTAGTTCTTGTTGATTGATCTGTTTTAAATATCTGTGTTAAAAATTGGGACCCAGTGTAGTTAGGGACAGTTAAGAATGATCCCTCAAACAGATCTAGGTCAAGGGAGAGGTGGGAGCTTTTACAGGAATACAGCCTAGAACTCTCCATTGTAGCCACATATGGAATCAGCCTTACATGTGGGACCTTATTACTTTAAGAGCTCTCAGACTTTTGACCACATAGGCAAGAATAAGACAGTATCTCAACCCAGTTATACTCAGTATTTCCAATAAAATAGAATCTTCTCAATTCAATTCAATTCAATTAACTTTGTTCAATTAACTTTGATGCCAGAAGTCAAAGCCAGAACTGGAACCCAACAGCTCTTAAGTATTGGTTCCTATCCTGCCTATGCCTATAGCCAGTCACACATGTTTCCAAGTTCTATGATCATTTTCCTACAATTGCATTACTGTGAAAAATCTATATATTTCACCTGTTAAATGATAATTATTTTTAAGTGCATGAGACCTGGAACCTCCTCTTTCTACTTGCACTCTGCTTATAATAGTTTCTATTTGTAGATCTCAGGCCTTTGTAAAGACCTCCATCAATTCACAAAAGCATTTGTCTCTACAGTGGCATGTGGTCATCTGAATAAAAAAATTATATAGGCGTTCAACTCATAGGCATCTTGTCCATTTAAGAAAAGGGTTAATTTTATCATCAGATCACTTGAAGCCCCTTTCCTCTTAGCCACACCAATTTTTTTCCTTTCAAATTACAACACAGTACATTAGTGAAAGCACTTAACATACAGTGACAAAAACAACGGCATTTTGGTGAGTAACAGTAAGTGAGTGCTGACACAGAGTATGGGTAAAATTAAAAACACCAAAGGCTGAAATATGTGAATATCTGGATCTGTGCACATAAATTTAGTATTGACTGTGTACCCTAGAATGTGCAGCACAATATTTTCAATAGATATTTTTTAATGAACACTAGATTTTTGGAATAATATATTTCTAATTAGAAAGACAGTGTTTTTCAAAGGTCTGTCAAAACTTCACACAGAATATTTACTTAGTTTCGTTTCATGTATTGGCTAACTTCCAGGGGTCCTCAGATTCCATACATCTTCAGTGCATTGACAAATTTCTGATTTGTGTCTGCCTCAGCCATCTTGACTTTATCCTGAGGCTTTCCACAATCTTCTTGGTGCAGGTGCTGCTAAAAATCTCAAAATTATGTATCAAGTATTTTCTTGCAATTGTAAAAATATCATCTGTGTTAAAGTGAATAAAAAGTGCATTTTGAATAACCAACATACAATGTTTGTGATTCTTTCTCCCCTTTCTCATTTTGAACAATTGGTGGGTATGGTAGACAGTACTTCTCAATCAAGTCACTTTTTTCTTATATGAACTCTGGATCATATTCAATGTGATACTCCAAGGAGTTCTACCTAGAGAGCAGGCAGGTACTGCTATATTGATTGGGAAGCAAACTCAAAAAGCAAACTGCAAAGATTTATTTTATTTTACACCACTTTCTAATGTGCAAAGAATATTAAGACTAGAAATTAGATATTAACTCTCCACTTTATCTCTTCATTATAATTTAAAACAAAGGTTAAATTATCATAAAATACAAACAGAATGTGTATACTCCCTTTATTCACTTCTTTTTATTTATTTTTTTTGAGACAGGGTCTCACTATGTATTTCAGCCTGACCTTGAATTCATGTAACCCAGTTTGATCTGGAACTCACAGTGATCTTCCTGCCTCAGCCTCTTGAGTCCTGAAATTATAGGCATGCACCACCACGCCTGGAACCTTTATTTTCCTGACTGGTAAATGAGCCAGACTTTAGACAAATACAAAAATATAGTCTAAACAAATTCCTGTACCCTTAAATATTGAACATTAAAGATACACCAGTATCAAATAGCTTGAAGATAACTTTTGGTGACTTTTTTTTTTTTTTTATCGGTACCGGGGATTGAACTCACAACTGCCTGCTTGCAAGGCAGGCGCTTATGCTGTTGAGCTAAATCCCCAGCCCCTTTTGGTGACTTTTAAAATGTGGATGCAAAATTGTTTCCACTGCATATGATTTCACCACATTGATTCTACCTGCCACTGACTTAGTCCCTCTTCTACTCTTTATGTACTTTTGCCAATTGGAACTTTGTGGGTTGAAATTGAGAAGAAAACAGATTATTTTTAATGTAAAATTGTCACATCACACTTCATGTATAGCTTCCCAAATCCCTTAAATTAGGCTACAATGATGCAAATTTAAAACAAAGAAGCTCATAAATTTACAGGTCCCTGAAAAAACATTTGCTTAGCTTAAAATATTAGTGTGTCATTCAACAAAATTTGTTTGCAATTAAGAAACTTTTGCTTGGGCTGAGGGTGAAACAATGGTAAGAGCATTTTCCTAGAATGCATGAGACTCTCGGTCCCATTCCCAGCATCACATAAAAGGACTTTCTCACCCAAAAGTAGTATTTTCAGAGCAGAAAATTAGTTTTCTGTCTTTGCTATTTTTCTCTGTGATTCATTACTCAGTGAAAAATCTCTTGATATCTTAGAAATAATTGAGAGTCTTGATTTTTGGAGAGAACCTGACTATGGTTCTTTCAGAAAATGGAAGATGTAGAATACATGGTTTCTCCTCAGTTCTATAATTGAATTTAAAAAATATACTGGAAAGTGGAGTCATCAGTTTGAGTAATTTCAGTATGGGAGTCATGGAAGACATTTCTTCTTTCATTTCAATCACCCGAAGTAGTTCTGGCAACAATATTTTTTTAAACTCAATGATTCTGATAATCAAATCACTTCTTTCTCGCCTTGTTATAGAAATATAGGTTTCATTATAGTAGAGTGGTTTACTTACTCTTGATTTTAGGGAAGATAAACTGTGTTACACAGCCCATACTCCTATAGCAAAATACCCCAAAATAAGTAGCTTATAAAAAACAGAATTTTATTTCTCACAGTTCTAAAGGATGGAGATTGTAAGATAAGGTGCTGTTAGATTCAGAGGCCAGTGGGAATGATTTCTGATTCATTATGCTGCCTTCTCACTGTCTGGAGGGGATGGGATTCCTGTCTGGGGCTTCTTTTATCAAATCACTACTCCCATTCAACAGCGGGTCTACCCTTGTGACCTAATCACCTCCCAAGGGACCCACCACCCAATATTATCACTTTGGGAGTTAGGGTTTCAACATATAAATTTGGAAGGTACCTAATGGTACAGATCATAGCCTATACCTTTTGATAAAATGTTAATTTGTATGCATGTTTTAAGATATTTATTCAACATTCCCATTTCTCAAACTTGTTTTCTTGGTTTCCCCACCAATAGAGTCCTCATCTTTGCCTCCTTTCTTTAAAACAAGTAAAAGACACTGATATGCTAGTCATATGTAAAGAATGAAAGATTTTTCAATGTCCCTTATTTATATACTTACAAAACCTGATGCTCAACAATCTAGCTTTTATTTTGGTGCTGGGATACAGGCATGTGCCAACACATCTGGCTTCCAACTATCACTTTTTTATAATATAAATCATCAGTGAAGATCTGATGAACTAATCTTAGTTCATATATCTGTTTATTTCCTTTAATTAGAGAACCTGAATGTGTTTGTGCTTTTAACATATATTCGAAGTTACCCTGTGGAAAGTTGTCACAAATGACATCAACACAAGAACGATATACAGCCTATTTTTCCAAGACCTCTAACATATGAAATACTCACCTTTTCGACCTATTTGCCCAATTTAATGGATAAAAAAAACTCATGTTTTTATTTATCTTTTACAAATCTTTTGAAAATGATGGTTGCGCATATATCTATTTAACATCTATATTTTTCTTTTTCTTTTTTTTAAACTTTATTTTGAAGGTAGTAAAAATATAATAGAACAAGACAGAACAAAGCCAATCCAGACAACGTAGTAAGATTGGTACAGAACTTCACAGCAGGATACCAGGACAACAGTAATAAGTACCATAGTATATCTTGTTATCTTCACAATAGCTGTCCATTCAATCAGATATAGCCAAATCAAATCAAATACAGAACACTGTAAAACCATTCCAAAGAGAATATTGAATAGAGCATTACAATTAATCATAATAAAGTGAAACAGTGGAAAGAACATTTGACTTTGAACAGAAAATAGAAGGAACTCCCCCCCCCCATATTTGCTATATTGTATGCGATCATCCTCCCAAGAGATGCTCACACCTCTGGCCCCAGATGCTCCTGGGGGTGGAGGGAGAAGGCGGGGGGGGGGGGGAGGGATGAGATGGTTGATTCTTGCAGTTAGGCTCACGGGAGACGTTGAGTAGTTCTCTTCCTGGCTGGCGTGCGGGGCACTTACCAGGAGGGCAGAAGAAATGCTTTCTTGTTCAGGCCCCTAAGTTCCACCACGGCCAGATCTCAGGACACGCTGGCTGGTTCTCCTCCTGGCTCTCGTGGGCGGGGTGCTTACCAGGAGGGCAGACAAATTGCTTTGTTATCCAGGCGTCTAAATTCTGCCATGGCAGGATCTGCGGACACGCTGGCTGGTTTTCATGGGGCACATACCAGGAGGGCAGACGAAATGTTTTCTTAAGAGTTCAGGTGCTTAAGTTCCACCGTGGCTAGATCTGGGAACCCTATGTTTTTTTTTAAGTAAATGGACCCTTCTGCTTCTTAGCCCATTTAGGATGATGAATATTCATTTTTGTTTCTTATTAACTTCTATTTAACTCTTACATTGTGGATAATAACCTTTGATTTTATTCCTGTTGGTTTTCTGCAAATCTTCCTATATCTCTTGCATTTAGTTTTACTTACGGTTTATTAAAATTATGCCAAGGAATTATTGAAAGGGTTAATTTCTTATAAAATAGAAAACTAATGATGAATAGGGTATATAGAAATGACCATTTGATATGTGCTTTGTTTCTGATCACATGTGATCAGAGAGATTATACTATTTATCTTTCAAAAGGTTAGGAATTTAAAGTTCTGTGAACTTGATAAGATCTGGTAGAAAACAAAACATTCTTACAGATGCTTTGCCTGCATGATATCAAATATCTGGTTTTAACTGAGTTTGTTATTTTTATTATAATAAACAGATTATTCTTAAGTTTCACACAAATACAGTGATAGTGACAGTTCAGCTTTCACCCACAAGGGGACAATAAAAACCACTTAGTGTTCTGTCGTTGACTGAATACATTAGACTACAGATTGTGAAAGCGAAAGAGCCATCTGCAAATTACCCTTTTAGTCCACCTTTCCCTTATTTTATACACAAAGAATCTGGAGTCTGGAGCAAGAGAACAACCTACTAGGCCATTAGAGTCAAGGAGGTGGCCAGTCACCAAGCTTTTTTCACTTTCTAGTTTACCACACTGATTTAGTTAAAATGGCACAAACTGTAAACACATCTTTTCTAATATTTAAATTGTTTCACCTGTGTGAAATGAGATTTATAAACAACATTAACCATTTCAAAATATACAATTTAGCTCTATTTATTATCTTCACAATGTCGTGAACATATGCATTTGTATCTCGTGAATGCAAATTCCAGTCCTGACACTAAATGGAAATGTTACATTAGGTTAAATAAACTTTCTGAACTTCAGTTTCTTCAGTAATGTCTTCACTACCCGGTTGATATGAGGATTATCAAAAACAATATGTCTAGAAAAAGATACTCATCAGCAGCTCCTCATCTAGTATTAGTATATTTATCTCACATTAAGACTAAAAACTGATGCTAAAGAGGTTTTTCTCTTCTTATGACCAATAATGCATTATCTTTATTAGACTTTGTGTGTGCTCAAAGATTAAAAATTATTTTTTAAATGTCATAAAGTATATTTTTGTGTAGTATATACAAATGGTCCTTGTTAGAAGAATTATCCAAATTATGTAACTCAGGAATGAAGTACACATAGATAGTTTGGTGATGTGTGTGCCACTTTAGATAAAATGTGAAACAGACTTCCAGGTACTGTGATCCAATCCTCTCTTTTTATAGATAATAAACTGAGAAATAGAGAAGTAAGAAAGTCCTGAAGGCTCCACAAGCCAATGACTTACCAGACCTTCAACACTTGTCTCTTGCTTCTCGCTCCAGGACTATTTCCAGAATACCTCTCTGTGGGGGGCCAGGATGTTAACATTGTAGTTGGAAGCATGCATAGTATTAGGGATGGCAGGAAAGTGGAAACAAGAAAAGAAAGAAAAGATTCTGTTCTGGGAAAAGCACAGTTTAGGTTTCAGAGAGTGAAAGAAGCAGAAAC